TGCAAGTTAATAGGCACTCTTCATGCCCAGTGGAGAGCTGAAGGCATTCAGTAGGTGTAAGAGGCAATCAGCAACTTGTGGGATTGGGCCTTAAGTGACTGTGCCCTATAATTCCCAGAGCTTCAGTAGGCGCAGGAGCGGGCCCCAAGTTAAGACAGCACAGGATGACAAACCAAAGGCACTCAGAGGTGTGGAAAAGCCTATGGTTCCAGTAGGAGATCAGGGGAGATGCTTTTGCTACATGACACCTTGTTGCCTTCCTTGGAAAACATGATTTTGTTTGTAGTAAAGCCCTAGCAGGGCTAACTTAGGTTACTCACTTAGGTCAGCTCACTTCTGCTCTTCAAAGTTTAATTAACAAACCCCTGCAGGAGGTAGGTAAGAATCGAGCTCCTTTAGAAGCGGAGGCAAAGACCAGAAATAATTAGCTCGTAGCTACTCAGTGGCAGACTCAGGATTCAAATGCAGGACATCCTGCCCCTTCGGCCTGAGCTCACTCCTCTGGACACTGCTGCCAGCAGCTCCTCCCACGAGCAAGGAAGGAAAAAGGAACCTCCCATTCTAGCAGCACCCTGAGGTGCACAGGTCGCAGCGGGCCCCACCTGCTCCGTTTATTAGCACGTTGAGCCGGAAATAGTCCTATGGAAACAAAAGACCCCCACAACCTCCGCTGCCGTTAAAAAAAATCCTGCCCCAGAAAGAGCGGCGTAACACAGAATGATGACGTCACATGATTTGTGCTGTCTCAACGCTAATCAGAGCAATAATGCCTATTGAGACAGCTGGTTTAAAGGCCTGATGTAGAAGTGAAAATTCCAATAAAACTCTATTCGCCCATCCCCATTACGCTAATGGTAGCGACTGCTAAAAGCTCCCTTCTATAGACATTCATATTAATGGGCTAATTACAGGAAATAAAATCCGGGGCTGAACATTACAGCATTGGCTGATTCATTCGGCACGGTCATCGCTATCTTTTTGATTTAATTAATGCATTTCTTGATGTGCCAACTCTTTGTCTTGACTGGGATTTTTGTGGCAATTTTCAACTTATGTAGTTGAAAGCAAAAGGAGAGAAAAAATTAATCTCTACATCAACTCTTCCGTTGGAAAGGAAGGCTAACCTAGCAGGGCAGAGACTATTTTTTTTTTTTAAATTCATCTTAACCCTGAGCGCCTGGGGGAGAAACTAGATTCCAGAGCAGATATCAAGAGATCCAGATATAGAGAGATCCAGCTGCTGGGCAGAAGGTTTCCAAATAAGCAGGTACCTCAGGAAGCAGACAGCTATATAAACACCCAGTGGAGGCTGCTCTATAGCAAGAGCTGTGCTAGGTACAAGAGCATTCTCAGCAACGGCTAGAACGACTGCAAGAGACCAGACGAAATCTGCCAGTCTTGTTGAACACACGATCTGGTTGGATACAGTCCGTTGCCACCATGTGATCCCGTTCCACAGTGAAGATTGTGCCATGAAAAGTGACAGGTCCATAGTGTGTGCTGAAGCAGCAGCAGGGCTGGTTCCAAAGCAATTCTAACTAGTCCCTTGGTGGTGCTGAGTTACTGCCCCAGAAAGCTGACCTGCTAGTCAGGGCCTACGCTAGGGTCCCAATCAGTTTGAGTTCGATAGGGTGAGTCAGTGTATAGATGCTTTAACATAGCGCCCGGTCCATGCAGCTCCCTGCGCGCAAGGTGGGCGTGGTTGTCAGGACGATCGGACGAACCCTGCCTGGTAAAACCCATTTTTCAAACCCAAATTAACTTTCTTTGCAGTTTGTTTTGACCCTTAAGTCAGAGGGAAGAGAGAGAGAGAGTTTGTCTCCACGTTTGCAGATCAGGCTTTTGCTTCCTTCCCTTGCCCTACTATTTCCAACGCCCTCCTGGTGCCCAGGGGTGTCCCATGCGTTAGAGGAGAGGCAGCATTCTCTTGTGGAGACTGGGGAGCCTGTGTCTTCTGTTACCATTTATAAGATGGGATGGCAGCGGTGGCAACCATGCTGCTGCCTCGGCACCTGCTCCAGGGTTGGGGGATGTGAAACCATCTCTCTCCGCCCTGCTTGGTTCCTCATGCAATGAAGCCATGTTATCGGGGGGGGGGGGGGTGAAGGGGAGGTGAATTTTATGCTGCAAAACAATGTAGGTTCGGCACCCTTGTGGCACCAACACTGAACTTACGGGCTCATTGTGAATGTAATCGGGTGGGGCATATCTTGTACCCACCAGTTATGTCAGTGGGAGGTACGTCCTTGACTTCAGCAGTAACAAGTTTTAGAGAGCTTATTCCTTCGCTCTCCCACTTCCCTGGTCCTTCTCGCATGAACAGAGAGCAACAATACCCGAAGTCCGAAGGTGCAAACAATTCAATGCTTATTGGGGTGAACTTCCAGCAAGCTTAAATCTAAGTTCCTTTTTCCTTATTTTCAAATCCCAATTTACTTTAACTTAGGCTTGAATAGAGACGGGAATGGTTGAGTCATTATAAAAAGTAACCTATTTCCCCTTGTTTATTCCTTCCTCGCTCTCCCCCCCCCCCCCACTGTTTCTCAGACATTCTTGTTAAACCCTGGATTTGTGCTAGAAATGGCCCACCTTTATCATACACATTGTAAGGAGAAAGAAAAGGAGGACTTATGGCACCTTAGAGACTAACCAATTTATTTGAGCATAAGCTTTCGTGAGCTACAGCTCCATCCGATGAAGTGAGCTGTAGCTCATGAAAGCTTATGCTCAAATAAATTGGTTAGTCTCTAAGGTGCCACAAGTACTCCTTTTCTTTTTGCGAATACAGACTGACACGGCTGTTACTCTGAAACCTGTCATTGTAAGGCGAGTGATCACTTTAGATAAGCTATTACCAACAGGAGAGTGGGTTTGTGAGGTGGGGAGAAAACCTGGCTTTGTGCTGGAAATGGCCCACCTTGATTATCATACACATTGTAAGGAGAGTGATCACTTTAGATAAGCTATTACCAGCAGGAGAGTAGGGTGGGGGGGGGGAGGGAGAGAAAACCTTTTGTAGTGATAAACACCCATTTTTTCATGGTTTGTGTGTATAAAAACATCTTGTGTATTTTCCACAGTATGCATCCGATGAAGTGAGCTGTAGCTCACGAAAGCTTATGCTCAAATAAATTGGTTAGTCTCTAAGGTGCCACAAGTCCTCCTTTTCAATTTACTTCCTGTTTGCCCCTAATTTATATAGTCTATACCTTAATCAATCGTTCTACTGAAATTTACCTAACCAATCCTAACATATTGTAACATGATTAGCTAACCAATTATATCCCACCACCTTAATTAGTTTACACCCACCAAAATTAATTATACAACAGACAGAAACCATGCAAATAAACAATAGTAAAGGGGGAACTATAATGACAGAACAATACAGAAGTGAGGATTTCACAACAACATCTATAAAGACATAAGGGTTTCCCAGCTGTGTCTATTGATAAGTGAGTTCTTACCAAATAGAAAACTATGAAATTAAATTTCCTTTTACATCTTCTAGGCTCTTCCCTTTCTCTGGAGGTGGTAGATCGGATCCCCTTCCTAACAGCCTTATTTCAATCTGACTAGTTTGAAATGTGAGGATGTGATCCTTCGCTTCCCAGCTTATGGCTGCCTCTGCTACTTGGCCAAAGGCATTAGCTTAAGAACAGGGCCTCAGACTGTCACAGTGAGAGAAGGCCCTTACACAAATTCTTTCTTTTATACCCCTATAACTAGCTAAATGATAAACATATACCTAAATTCTTAAAACATAGGCCTTTACAGACAGGCCTGAATATCTATATCCTAAAAACAAGCGCAAGCCCAAATTGAGCACATCTCCTGCTAACATACAAAGCTTTCTGGGCATCAGCAGCAGTAGTCCTTAGTGCGTGAGTTCAGTGAGATGGTCGGCTGCGCCAAATTCCATTCTAGCCATGGGGGGATTTCATATTGTGTTCCTGGGTCAAGTGTAACTGGTGCAGGGGCTTTCCTGACAGGCTTTTGGATGGCCAGCCAGAAACAGCTCTGTTTTCCCCTGTGTGTGTGTGCACTTAACTTTAGGCACCAAGGTTTGAATATTCTGGCCTTAACGTCTCTTTGCCTCCATGTTTTTGTCTGTAAAATGGAGGAAATGGTGTCTACTCTCTTTTTGAAAGGCACCTTGAAATCCGTGAATGAAAAGTGAGAGAAAACAGCAAAGTATTAATATTGTGATATAAAACCAAACATTCTGGAAATTGAGGGGTAGAAATAGGGCTTGACCTGCAGAATAACCACTACTCACATAGGACTGATTGTGCAACATGTAGGATGGACGCTAAGGTAGGATTTTTTAGATATCACGTCACAATTTCCTTGCTTCAGGACCAGCCTACAAAATGCTAGGACCGGTGTGAAATTCTGCTCTTGGTTACATCTGTAGTGACTCCTCTGAAGTCAGTGAAAATACTTGAGATTTACCATGGGGTAAAAAAGAGCAGAATTTGTCTGAAAAGTTAAGATCCTTTGGGAGCTACAAGGGAATTTAGGCTGACTTACATCTCAGTTAATGAGAGAAGTGGTGACAGATCTCTGATGGCCATCAATGACCAGGATCTCAGTTTTACATCTTATCTGAAAGACAGCACCTGCAGAAACTCGTGACTTCTATCACTATGCTGGAGCACCATTTCCTGGGATACACCTCTGTGCTTTCCATCAGCAGTGTAAGTATGTGTTTATACTGCATAGATCTCAAACTATATATGGAGCTGGGAGGGTTGTGTTTGGCCAGGCGATTGGTACGATTCCTGCTTCAGGCAATGGCTCAGCTCTCTGGTGGCGAAGTGAATCTCTCAAGGTGTTGGCAGGGACTCCTTGGTGACCGTGTGATTATCATACTTCCCAATTAAATGGTCATTAAGACCTCAGGCAGCCTGGGAATTTATTACATATTTGGCTAAACAGCATAATGAGATTAATAAACTCTCTCCAAAGATAAGGATTTGCCCCCAGATCATAAAAAACGCCCTTTGCTGAGAGAGAAGAAGAAGGAGCAGAGAGAGGAGAAGTTATTTCCTTAGTGTTGTCCTGTGTGGTGAGGATCCTGTGTGGTGAGGTATTTAATTGACCTGTATAGTTTCTTTAAATTTAATATTTATTGAAACAAATTGGTCTAGGAAGCTTTCAGACTAGCAGAAAGAGAACTTGGGGGATCGTCTCAAGGCGGGAGGCCGCCCATGAACACTGATCTCCCTGTAGCAGGGCGTATTCTGGCAAACTGTTTTAAGGTAATAGGTCACTCATGTTAGAAAAGGGATTTTATCCAATATAGAAGTGTGAAGCCTCAGGTTGCGTCTGTATGTTTATTTTCTGAGTAGCTTGGATATGTTTTCTTTCCCTGCACCATTTCATCTTTGAATCTGTGGTTTTTCTATTAAATAAACTTTTTGTTTATTTTCATCCCAAGCAGGTCTCTGGTCTGCAAAATGTGCAGAACATGTGTGCCATGCCAAAGTGAGCTGATCACTGGGCGGGCTGGTTTCACACCTTCGGGGCTAACAAACCAGAGGGGAACAGTCTGAGTGTCTGTAAGTAAGAACTTGGGGAAGACAGATTTGGGGAGACCTGGAATTGGAAGGGCTCATGGTGTCACTTTGCAAAGTGTAACTAAGCTGGTGAAAGCTAGGATGAGACCTTCTGCTTGTGGGCAGGGTATTGGTGTCAGGGAATTGTACCAGAGCTGCGCAGCTCCCAAAATTACAGGGCCGGTGGTGACAGAACTTTTTATTGGTCTGGGTGGACCCCGAAAGACACACTTGTGTCGTGCAGTAATGCCGCATGTGGAATGTTGGGCGCATCATCTGCATTGACATCATGTGACAGAGTAGAGAGGTAACGGCCTATTTATGCAGTGCTTATGTGACTGCACTTGGAATTCCCTGAGAGTTCTGGGTACCATGGTACCCGCAGGACGTTGACACTTCGCAGAAAGCACAGCGAGGAGCAAGACAAGAAGTCAAGGAGCTGGAGAACTGGACTTAGGAGAAAAGAGTCTAAAAGGTGGTAAATGTGTTGAATTTAAACAAGGACTAAGAGTTGTATTTGATAATGGTCTTAAGGTATGTGTAGTGTAAGCATGTCAAATCGTTATTTAAGGTATCACTGGAAGCAATTGGGATGACATTAAGGGAAAATTTAGGTTGAATATCAGGGAAAATTCTCCACAGTGAGATTTATTAAGCTAAGGAATCATCTCCTGACCGATGGTGGAAGCCTCATCACTTGGATCTTTTAATTAATAGTAAATGGTAAGGGGTTTTGTAGGGGACAGTCCTGCACTGGCAAGAGATGGGGACCGGATAATGGGTGATTTCCATCTCTTGCTGCTGGGATTCTATGAGGCTTGTGTGTGTCCTTGAATAACCATGTGTTTGTATTATACCTTGTAAATCCCATGCTTATTTAAACAAAGGGTGCTCAACTTTTTCTTTCTGAAGCCCTCCCAACATACTATAAAAACCTCTAGGGCCCAGTGGGAATGGGGGTGGGGAGGGGTGGAGTTTCAAGACTCCTGGCTTCAGCCACCAGATTTGTGTGTGTTGGGGGGGCCTCATGGATTTAGCCCTGCGGGACACCAGGGTTTGGGGCCCACTCTTCAGCCCTGGGGCCCTGCAGCCCCTAAACTATTGATTTAAACCAGAAAGTCACTCACAGTCAATTATCTATTAGCTAGTAGGTGTTATCCCAAGAGAATAATCTCCCTCACTCTCATGTGAGCAGAGGTAAGACAATGTTTTTACATGAGTTAGTTTTTACAGGACCTCCCTGGCCTGTGGACAGGTGAAAGTGTACAGAGAGATCTGACTGCACAAGTGTGGATGGGACATATAGGGCCCTATATAATCTGCATTAACAAGAATGCAGAGGGACTCAGGGAATCAGAACATTAAGGAGGATTCCTGCTCTCTGTGGAGCCGCCAGCAGGACGGGCTGCACAGCTGAGCTACCTGCAGCCACACTTAAGAGAGTCAGCTGCTCCTGCTGGGAGCCTCCTGATCTGCTGCGCTGTGCGGAGCTGGAGGGGGAGGAGGCCTAGTGTTGGGGTGTCCTCCTCCCCCCTGAGGTGTCCCCAGTCTCTGAGGAGCTGGAGTGAGGGACAGGGGGGCACCTCTTTCTGTGCAGCAGCCTCTGGCTCAGGAGTGGTTAGTACTGGCTGCTGTGTGAACTTAAGGAGACAGTGTGCCGACACACTCCGCCGACACACTCCACCAACACACACACTGTCTCTCTCTCTTGCGTGCGCGCACACTCCCTCCACACACACACACACACACACACACACACATGCTCCCCCCTCCCCCTTTTATGGACTTCTAGTATTACTGTTCAGCAATGTCAGGTTGGACATAATACTGTGTGCCTCTTTAAAAAGTCATTTCAAATGGGCTACTTTTACCTTATACTGTATATCTGAAGGAATGTTGTTTAAATTATAGGATTTTTTTGTAAAGTCAGTTTTTCCCATTGCAATCCAATTCTGAACATTTTTATGCATTTATAGGAAGGCTACTAACTGTTGTCAATGTATCAAACAATGTTGATTAAAAAACGCATAAAGCCGGAATTAATTTTTTAAAAAATGGAAACAAGTGAAATCAGAAAATACTAAATCCAAAAATCCACAATAATAAGGGCCCAACATGTAGAGGAGATGAAGTCAAAAGGGGGTTTATGGTAGTTTCTTATTGACTCAAAGGGAAGAGCCCCCAACTTCTGAGTTACTAAAATATTCTCCTGTAGCACCATCCTCCGAACTGAAATATTAGACAGTAGCAAATCTCTGGCCACCTCGTTTTTCACAAATGTCACTTTGCTACGCACCAGAGTCACTTAGAACTTCAAAGTGTCAGCAGGGGCAGATCTCTGATCCTCCTGCACTAAAAGCACTGAAGCCAACGAAAAATCTCCCTGAGGTGGTTTGACTACAGAGCCTATGAGACACTGCTGAGCAGTTCTAATTCTGTCCATTAGAGGGCACTAGCACCTACGCGTGAGCCAGATCATTGTAATACAAACCAGGGATAACCTAAGGTGTTTGTTGGCTTGTGCCTTGTGTAAAAGATTACGAAGAATTAGTGAGGTTCTAGGAACATAACCAAGGTGTTCCATCTCCATGGGGACAAACTCTACATTGAGACGTGCAGAGTTTGTTTTGACTCATAGCAGAAATGCAAATCTGTGTAACGTCATAATTGCCCTATTTCACAGTGCAAAGATGAAAGGTTTAAAAAAAAAAAAAAAAGAGAGGACTTTCAGGCTAGTGGTTCCTTCATTGGTTTGTTTCTCTTTAACCAAATGATCTGAGCTGTGAGGGAATGAAGGGAAGGTGGTAAGTTTCAAAGGGTAACTTAGTTCTGTGCAATGAGACCTGGTCTCGCAACAGGGACTCCATCTGCTGCAAGCCGAAGTCAGAGAGCAAAATGCTGGAGAAAATTAAGAAAGGGCTCACAATCAAAAACAGAACAGTTAGGGAGGCGCTGGCTGAGGCCTTGGGGACATTCCTCCTGATGGTAAGGAAGAGTGAAAGTGTGTGTGTGTTTGTGCGCACATGGCTGATGTGTACATTTCTCTAGTGAGCTGCAGGTTCAGCAATGTGCTGTTCTCATTCTGTATCCCCTTCAGAGCCTGTAGCGCTGGCAGGTTATTAATGGTTAACTTTAAGATGTGGTTATCATGTCTGGCAGTTTTGTATGAGCCTTGAGAGTCTATCAAAATGCTCCAAGGGGAAAGAGACAAGACAGAAGGTGGCAGAGGCAGAGATCAGGAGATTGAGGAATGGAGCAGCCTGGGAATGAAATGATCATTCTAATTCTCTTCTGTGAAAGAACAAACAACATATTGTAAATGACAGCAAACAGCAGCTAATCATTAGCAAAAAGCTGGGTATGTCAAGGTGGCACCTGTGCTGATTCTCTCTCTGCACACATAATGGAGGTCAGTATTATTATCCCCACTAGACAGATGGAGAAACTGGCAGAGAAGTGAAGTGTCTTGTCCAAGAGGACAGTGAGCCAATGGCAGGATCTGACCACTGGGTTGGGGAGCAGACCTCTTGCCTTCTAATCCCAACTCTGATTATTACTACTTCTTAAAATCTTCTCTGTAAAATGGGCACAATAATATTTACCCACCTCCCAGGCATGTTGGGGGTTAGTTAATATTTGTAAAAACCCACTGAAGATAGAACACATTATCTGATGATTGTAATTATTGTAATTAAAGCAAATTAGGAATTAGCCTCTGGTTGCTTCATCCTAGCAAATGTTGATCTCCAGATCATGCAAAATCTCCACCCTTGTTGTTGATCATGCCTGGTTTTGGTGTTACTTCACACACACACAGTAACATATAAAAGAGATATGAATAAATTGTTTTGTTAGGATAATGCGAATTTAACATAAGGATAATGCAAAATACACCAAAACACATAACACGTCTAGATTTCTAAAAAAAATATAAATTAGAAGAAATGTATTTAATTTAAATTGACTTTTGAAAAGTAAGCCATCATGGGGTAACAGGGAAGTCCTCTCATGGATCATTAACTGGTTAAAAGATGGGAAACAAAGGGTAGGAATAAATTATCAGTTTTCAGAATGGAAAGAGATAAATAGTGGTATCCCTGAGGGGTCAGTACTGGGACAATTACTATTCAACATATTCATAAATTATCTGGAAAAATGGGTAAACAGTGAGGTGGCAAAATTTGCAAATGATACAAAACTATTCAAGCTAGTTAAGTCCAAAGCAGACTGCGAAGAGTTACAAAGGGATCTCACAAAACTGGGTGACTGGGCAACAAAATGGCAGATGAAATTCAATGTTGATAAATGCAAAGTAATGCAAGTTGGAAAACATAATCTCAACTATACATACAAAATGATGGGGTCTAAATTAGCTGTTACCACTCAAGACAGAGATGTTGGAGTCATTGTGGATGGTTCTCTGAAAATATCCAGTCAATGTGCAGCGGCCGTCAACAAAGCAAACAGAATGTTGGGAATCATTAAGAAAAGGAGAGATAATAAGACAGAAAATATCATATTGCCTCTATATAAATCCATAGTACGTGCACACCTTGAATACTGTGTGCAGATCTGGTCACCCCATCCCAAAAAAGATATATTGAAATTGGAAAAGGTACAGAGATGGGCAACTAAAATGATTACAGGTATGAAACAGGAGGAGAGATTAAAATGACTGGGAATTTTCATCTTAGAAAAGAGATGACTAAGGGGGGATATGATAGAGGTCTATAAAATCTTGACTGGTGTGAAGAAAGTGAATAAGGAAGTGTTATTTAATCCTTCACATATCACAAGAACTAGCAGTCACCCAATGAAATTAATAGGCAGCAGGTTTTAAAAAAACAAAAGGAATTACTTCTTCATACAACATAAAGTCAACCTGAGGCGCTCTTTGCCAGGGGATGCTGTGAAGACCAAAACAATAACAGGATTAAAAAAAGAACTAGATAAATTCCTGGAGAATAGGTCCATCAGTGGCTATTAGCCAGGATGGGGAGGGATGCAACACCACGCTCTGAGCGTCCCTAGCCTGTTTGCCAGAAGCTGGGAATGGGCGACCGGGGATGGATCACTTGATGATTACCTGTTCTGTTCATTCTCTCTGGGGCACCTGGCATTGGCCACTGTTGGAAGACAGGATACTGGGCTAGATGGACCACTGGTCTGTGACCATTCTTATATAAAAATTAATTATAATAATAAAAATGTTTAGTACAGAAACTCCCCAACATAATGACCTCTCAAGATAGCAACGATGTGAGATAACAACCTTGGCAAATAATGCACTTTATAAAATATTGGCCTACTAGGAAACATATGTATGTACGTTTCCATTCCCAGTCACAAATCTAGCATTCTGGAGCAAAGTCACTAAAATATAGTCCAACAAACAAATGTTTATTTAACGTGCCCCTCACTTTTCCCTCCACCGCACGCCACTCACCAGTGTTGTCCTCGGTCAGTGGAAACTCAAGAGTTCAGAGGTGCTTTCACGTGAGTTCACCTCCCAGGTGGGGGGCAAGAAGGCACCTTGCTCATTCCTTCAGCTGCTCACTGTTTGCTCTGGCCACTGCTGTTCGTTGTGCCACTGTTCACTCCATCGCTCTGTTGCCAATGGCCCTGCACCGTCACCTGCTGCCACCTGCCACTGTGACCTCTGCGAGTTGGTCTCTTGAGGTTCCACCGGCTCTCAGTGATTTCAGCTGAGCTCTCAGTCGGGAACCTCGCTGCTAGTGAAGTCTGGGCTGTCTTCCGCAGAAACACTGTCCCACAGCAGGACTAAGCACTTAGATCTGATTATCAGTGATTTCAGCTGTAGTGGTCACTTAACAGAACATAGAATCATAGAATATCAGGGTTGGAAGGGACCTCAGAAGGTCATCTAGTCCAACCCCCTGCTCAAAAGCAGGACCAATCCCCAATTAAATCATCCCAGCCAGGGCTTTGTCAAGCCTGACCTTAAAAACCTCTAAGGAAGGAGATTCTACCACCTCCCTAGGTAACGCATTCCAGTGTTTCACCACCTTCCTAGTGAAAAAGGTTTTCCTAATATCCAACCTAAACCTCCCCCACTGCAACTTGAGACCATTACTCCTTGTCCTGTCCTCTTCTACCACTGAGAATAGTCTAGAACCATCCTCTCTGGAACCACCTCTCAGGTAGTTGAAAGCAGCTATCAAATCCCCCCTCATTCTTCTCTTCTGCAGACTAAACAATCCCAGTTCCCTCAGCCTCTCCTCATAAGTCATGTGTTCCAGACCCCTAATCATTTTTGTTGCCCTTCGCTGGACTCTCTCCAATTTATCCACATCCTTTTTGTAGTGTGGGGCCCAAAACTGGACACAGTACTCCAGATGAGGCCTCACCAATGTCGAATAGAGGGGAACGATCACGTCCCTCGATCTGCTCGCTATGCCCCTACTTATACATCCCAAAATGCCATTGGCCTTCTTGGCAACAAGGGCACACTGCTGACTCATATCCAGCTTCTCGTCCACTGTCACCCCTAGGTCCTTTTCCGCAGAACTGCTGCCTAGCCATTCGGTCTCCAGTCTGTAGCTGTGCATTGGGTTCTTCCGTCCTAAGTGCAGGACCCTGCACTTATCCTTATTGAACCTCATCAGATTTCTTTTGGCCCAATCCTCCAATTTGTTTAGGTCCCTCTGTATCCTATCCCTGCCCTCCAGCGTATCTACCACTCCTCCTAGTTTAGTATCATCCGCAAATTTGCTGAGAGTGCAGTCCACACCATCCTCCAGATCATTTATGAAGATATTGAACAAAACCGGCCCCAGGACTGACCCTGGGGCATTCCACTTGACACCGGCTGCCAACTAGACATGGAGCCATTGATCACTACCCGTTGAGCCCGACAATCTAGCCAGCTTTCTACCCACCTTATAGTGCAAAAAGAAAAGGAGTACTTGTGGCACCTTAGAGACTAACCAATTTATTTGAGCATGAGCTTTCGTGAGCTACAGCTCACTTCATCAGATGCATACGGTATGCATCTGATGAAGTGAGCTGTAGCTCACGAAAGCTCATGCTCAAATAAATTGGTTAGTCTCTAAGGTGCCACAAGTACTCCTTTTCTTTTTGCGAATACAGACTAACACGGCTGTTACTCTGACACCTTATAGTGCATTCATCCAGCCCATACTTCTTTAACTTGCTGACAAGAATGCTGTGGGAGACCGTGTCAAAAGCTACAAAAAAACAAAGCTACAAAAAAACAAAAGACTATCTATGGAGCCTAATCAGCTCTGTCTTAAAACAGTGGAGAGGGGCAGGTCAAATGGTACCTGGGACTCAGGTAGACCATCAAGCATAACACCTGTCCCCACCCTCTCTTTTGATGCCCTCAATCAGCACAGGCTAAGTACAGTTCTACTGCCCTTTACTCAGACAATAAGAATAACAACATTGCATTACCCTCCTGCTCCTCCCTTCCCTTCCCTCCCCTGCCCGCGCATTCAAGTGATTTGTAACCCAACCCAAGCCAAAATCTATCACTTGGGCAAAAACAGCTCTGTTTGCTGGATACCTAGGCAGATTAGGTGTGAATGTAAATACAATCTGGTCCTAAAGCCTTTCCCTACAGCCCCCAGCTCATCACTAGCTGTCAGGGAGAGCTCATTTAGACTTTGCTTACAAATCATCATTTGAACTTATTAGGTTGGCCAACATCACCAAAATGAATGCACTGACATGGTCATAAAAAACAACAGCTGTATAAGGAAGCTAGTCTATATTCATACTCTTTCAAATCTGTTATACTTTTTCAGATATACGTATTTTATCATACACGTTATATGCTTTTAAAGTATGTATTAATGTTTCAATTTCAATTCAAATTTCCAAATAGTCACTAAATTGGCATGTAACTAGTTCACAAAACTGGGGGCGGGGGGAGGGTGTTGAGGAAATTCGGGGGGGGGCGTGTAGGGAAATCACTGCGCATGACTCTTTTCCTCTGCATCAGTTCTTTGGTTTAGGTGGGGTTGCTCAGGTGACATTAGGAAAAGGAGAATTTGGGAAGTATCTGAGCATCAACTTGGCATTCGGAATTGGCGTCACTATGGGGATTCATGCAGCCGGCGGCATCTCTGGTGAGTAAGACTGTAGGACAGCAATGAAATGTACTAGTACGAGGATTATGGGGCCGTGCATCCTGTAGTGGCCAACTATCCAGCCCAGTGAGTAGTGGCAGATTCCCCTAGGGACACTGGATATAGCCTAGTGAGTGGCATGCATGAAGCTCACTGGAGTCTGTATAAGTGAGCCAGAGGTACAGCTGAATGGTTAGGTTGCCTCCTTTACTCTTCTGGGCCTGATCCTTCGAAGCACTGAGCACCCTCAGCTCTGAGGCACTCAATGGGAGATGCTCAGTACCTCCTGGGAAAAGGAACTGGTGCTTTGCAGGCAGGCCAAAGCACAGTGAGTGAATGGCTGAGGGGAGAGCCTTGTAACATACCTGGGTGCTGAGAGCCTGGAAAGTGCAAATGTTGAGTGGAGGAAGCTCCATTCCTCTAGGAGCAGCGTGCAGCAAGGAGCCTCAGCGCTGGAATCTCCACCAGTGCACAGCTCCCTGCTTCTGCACAGCTGGCCCTGTGGTTCTCCTGCCTCTGCCCAGAGCTCTGGGATTCCTTGATCTAGAGATGATCCCACATGTTCATTCCATGATGGTGCTGGAGGGTGTCTGGCAAACCCCACTCTCAACAGCAGCGTTTGGGGAAAACTCAGCCAACCACAGAGTTTTCCTCCCACAGTGAGAGGCCATTTCACCCCACGATGATTGGAAACCAGAGAACATTTCCATGTTGCCCAGTTTAAAATGCTTCTGGAAGTGCAGAAGTGACACCGTCCCTGGAGAAACAAAGGGATGGCAACAAGGAGACAGATTAAGGAACAGCTGAGACAAAGTTAACCGTAGAGTGTCTAGTGAGCCTTACGTGGCACTGATATTACCCACTGCAAAGTCAGTGCTCTTCCTCTTCTCCTCTGGTCACCTATTATATACAAAGTGTTGCCAGTGAAAGTACAACAGCTTATGGCTTATGAGTCTGATACACACACACACACACGGGTGCATATTGGGGATGGTGGTTCAGGGGAATAGTATCATATCTTTCTTATGTTTGGTCAATCCCTCCTTTCCTCTCTAATCTCTGCATTCATCTGCCTTGACGAAAGAGACTGGGACCCATGCTGGCAGGAAATTAAAGCAAATCCTTGGTCTTAATATTACCATTGAGGGTTTTTGTTTGTTTGTTTTTTAGATTTGAGGGGAAAGAGAGATTTCCAGGGCTGGGGGCAGGGGGGGTGTGCTGGAAATGAAAAGAAAATCTCTCCTGCATTTGAAATCTGCTCTTGGTCTTACTGTTAATGTGGAGTTTAGCAGATCTCCTCTAGTGAAAATGGGCTGGGTGAAGGGGACTTCTTTGAGTGCTTGCTCATGTCGATTCCATTGTAGGTGTGCATGCACCCTTGTGTGCGGCCGTCGGAGACTTTTGCCTTAGCGGTACCCATAGGGCCAGCTTTGGTGCCCTCTGGAGTGCCGCGCTAATGGCACAGTATATCAGGCGCTGCCAGCCCTGCATCCTCTCAGTTCCTTCTTACCGCCCTTGGTGGTCAGTCGGAGCGCCTCTCTCCCTTGCTTCGCAAGTGGTCAGTGGTTTATCATCTACAGGACCGGCTCTAGGCACCAGCAAAGCAAGCACATGCTTGGAGCGGCACAATTCCAGGGGTGGCATTCCAGCCACCCTTTGCTCTCGGAGCTTGGGGTGGCAAAAAACCTAGAGCCGGCCCTGCTTATCTAGTTTAGCCTTCTGCTTTATCTGTAAATAGTTTTAATCGTTGTTAGTTAGTGGTTAAGTACCTGTTAAGTGTTTAATTAGATAGTGTCCCAGCAGGAACTTTGTCCCTGGCAGGGCATGCCCCACTCTCTGGGTTTTGAGCCCTGCTCATCGTGTAACAGGCCTATGTCTTCTGCAGTTTCCACAGTATGCATCCGATGAAGTGAGCTGTAGCTCACGAAAGCTTATGCTCAAATAAATTGGTTAGTCTCTAAGGTGCCACAAGTACTCCTTTTCTTCAGGCCTACGCCTGTTAGTGATCCGCACGAGAGTTGTCTACAGTGCCTTGGGGAAACCCATATAAAGGAGCCAGAGCTTTTGCCAGAACTTTTGGCCGTGGACACAAAGAAAGCGCGACATATACCTCAGGGCACTCCTGATGCAGGCTGCCCTGCACCCAGCTTTGGAGCCAGAGCGGCCCGATACGGCACCCAGTGCTTCAACTTCGCTGGTAGCGCACCTCCGGCACCAGGGTCCTCCCGGCACCGATCCCCGTCGCCAGTGCTGAAGAAAAAGACTAAGGCGGCGGCACTGGCCAAGCCCGACCAAGGGGCTTTGGGCAAAGGACCCTGCTCGGGCCGCACACCCCCTCTGGACCCGCTAAAGAGCTTGGCTGTGGGGAGGTTCCTCCCCTGTAAGGACCTGCCACTGACTCTGTGGAGCGGTACAGCCGACCCCGCGTGTGGCAAAGGAACCGGCTATGGCTCCCCGTAAGGGCAAGCCCCCCACCAAGGCCTCGCAGAAGTGAGGCGAGCGCCAACAGTCTCCGGGGCTAAGACAGAGCCCGCTTTGTAACTGTTGTTCTTCGAGATGTGTTGCTCATGTCCATTCCATGACGCGCCCTCCTGCCCCTCTGTTGGAATTGTTGGCAAGAAGGAACCGAGAAGGCGTGTGCCCTATGGGTACCGCTAAGTCTCCGACAGCCGTTCACATAGGCACGTGCACACCTACAATGGAGTGGACGTGAACAACACATCTTGAAAAACAACAATTACAAAAAGGTGAGTGATTGTTTTTTTTCTATTCCACGATTAAATGTGAGTTGGGCCTGAGCTGCAAAGGTGTGGGACTTCAGAGATGAGGTATCAGTTCAGCCCATTATGGGTCAGTGGCTGGCTGGAATGTTCACCTCTAAAATCCACTTGGCTCTTTGGAGCTGAGGTTTTGGTTTGGCTCCATCTCCATAATAAACAGACAGGAGATTTCTAAGAGCAGTCTGTAGATACAGAGATGAAGAGAGTGGATCCCAAATAACAGATGTCTGGAGATGGTGGGAATGGTGGAGGAGGAAGAAATAGTTACTGCTTTCTGAATCTGTTTGGATCATGAGAGAAAACCTTCCATCTTCCCATCCCCAGGAAGGCTTAGATCAGAGCAAAGATCAAGGTGACCCTTGTCTTTTCAGTTCAGTCCTAGGGCCCTAAGTCAGCTCTTCCTTTAGTCTGAGTTTCGCATATTGCTTTTCCTCCTCAGAGGGTGTGCATGTTCGTTTCACTGAATGCAAGGGTTTGATAAAGGAAATGTGCATCATGGATCCTTTCATACAGAAAAGAGGGGCTGGTCAGAAAGGCTGGAGAACGGGATCATGATGATAATAATTTGTGTTACACAGTACATAGAGGCTCCAACCGAGATCAGTGTTCCATTGTGTCCAATGCTGTGCAAACACAGACCAGACATAGCCCCTGCCCTGTGGGGTTTACAATCTAAATAGATGAGACAGAGAAGGAACTATCTGAACTAGAGCAGATCTTTTAGAAAAACATCCAGTCCTGTTTGTAAAATGGTCAGGGATGGAGAATCCACTACGACCCTGGTACATTGTTCCAGTGGGTAATTATCCTCACCGCTAACAATTTACTACAGGGAATGCAGAGGCAGAGAGAAGAACTGAGCCCAGAAGTGTCAAGTTCCAGTCCAGTACCTGAACTGAAAGACTGTCCTTCCTGTCAAGAGCAGAAAGACTGCTCTTGCCTCATTAGAAAAAGAAAAGGAGGACTCGTGGCACCTTAGAGACTAACCAATTTATTTGAGCATAAGCTTTCGTGGGCTACAGCTCACTTCATTGGATGCAATCAGTGGGAAATACAGTGGGGAGATTTATATACACAGAGAACATGAAACAATGGGTGTTACCATACACACTGTAAGGAGAGTGATCAGGTAAGGTGAGCTATTACGAGCAGGAGAGCGGAGGGGGGAAACCTTTTGTCGTGATAATCAAGGTGGGCCATTTCCAGCAGTTGACAAGAACGTCTGAGGAACAGTGCGGGGTGGGTGAGGGGAATAAACATGGGGAAATAGTTTTACTTTGTGTAAGGACCCATCCACTCCCAGTCTCTATTCAAGCCTAAGTTAATTGTATCCAGTTTGCAAATTAATTCCAATTCAGCAGTCTCTCATTGGAGTCTGTTTCTGAAGTTTTTCTGTTGAAGAATTGCAACTTTTAGGTCTGTAATCGAGTGACCAGAGAGATTGAAGTGTTCTCCAACTGGTTTTTGAATATTATAATTCTTGATGTCTGATTTGTGTCCATTTATTCTTTTACGTAGAGACTGTCCAGTTTGGCCAATGTACATGGCAGAGGGGCATTGCTGGCACATGATGGCATATATCACATTGGTAGATGTGCAGGTGAACGAGCCTCTGATAGTGTGGCTGATGTGATTAGGCCCTATGATGGTGTCCCTTGAATAGATATGTGGACACAGTTGGCAACGGGCTTTGTTGCAAGGATAGGTTCCTGGGTTAGTGGTTCTGTTGTGTGGTGTGTGGTTGCTGGTGAATATTTGTTTCAGGTTGGGGGCTGTAAGAGGCTAAAGTAAATCCATTTTGAGACTGTGAGCTCCTTGGGACAGGGACTGTGTCTGTCTTGCTCAGTTCCTTTGGGTATAACTGTAATCTAAATAATGATTAATAACAGTGAGAACGTGCTTCCTAGAGCAGGCCATATCCCAGAGCTAAGCTGAAGACCTTTCTGGCAGGTTATTGCTCAGATGTATCATGTTCTTGCCTTTTTGGCTTTGCACCTCAGGCCTTCCACTGTGGCTCTCACTGGGAAATCCCAGGGCTTGTCATCCCCTCCCTGTACCTCAACCTTTTACTTTGAAACGAGACATAAGGCCTGATTTTAGAGTTGCGGAAAACCTGCAGCTCCCAGTGACTTTAGGGGAGGTTAGTCTGCGCTGCCCTGCTTAGGGTCAGGCCCTTGGTGCTTGTCATCACTTAACTTGTGGCTGCAGGTGGAAGTGGAACAGCACGTGGACTGCAGAGCAGAAATGCTCAGCCAGTGTGTTACTTCTCAGAACTCAGCATGCGGCTGTGATGGGGCCTGAGACACCATTGCCCTGCACCTGGTGTTGTCATTTACATCTGTGGAGAGTGATAGCAAGTGGGTGTAAGTGCTACCACTGTGATTTGTTTTATAATGTGCAGGGCATGAATCAGGGCCCACTGAGCCCATAGGTCTGTTCCCTGCTGCACTCACTGTGCCGGAAACGAATGGCAACTTAGCAAAGCATGGGAGAACTTCTCAAGCTCCCTGATGCGTGGGATGGAGCAATGAACTAACTCACGGGCAGCACAGGAGCTGGGACGCTGGTGCTTTCTTCCTCACCATAGCCAGAATCCGGAATGGTAGCATTTTGACTTGCTCCCCGCAGGTGTAAATGACAACACAAGCTGCAAGGCACCGGAGAATCAGACCTGCTAGAGGCACCCCTGCTATTTCCTGGAGGGGCTGGTGGATATAAGCCTTTGAATTCTTGGCACTTGGTGTCTTGGAGCAGAGGTCCAGGGTTCTAGTCTCAGTGTTGACCATTAACTATGGGGCTATGGAGTTGTTGTGCTGCCATAGACACGTTATTTATAAAGCTGATGTAATATATATATGTGTGTGTGTGTGTATTTATACATGTATATGTATGTTTTTAAACAGGAGCCCATATGAACGCCTCAATAAGTGTCACACACTGCGTCTTAGGAAATCTTCCCTGGAGAAAGCTGCCAGCTTACATAATCGGCCAGTTCCTGGGGTCCTTCTTGGCAGCATCCCTAGTGTTCTGCATGTACTATGGTACGGTTGCTTTTCCAACGTTATGGTAATTGCTGGGAATGGATTGGTTCACTTGCTGTTCCTGATCCACAAAGGAGATGAGTCTTCTGCAGCTCCCAGTGAGGGATGTGAACCTGTGGCTCATACTGTAGTCCCTGCAAAGCTGAGTCTGAATTTGATCCCTGGTGATAACCACACAGTTATGTTTGTCCTTGAGTATATTCCTGTCTATATTAGATTTATATAAGGAGAGCGCTCTTATCTGCCTTGAGATCTCTGATCATAACCACATAGACAACTTAATTCTGTCCACTCCCACCCACCTCCAGCAAGCCCCTGACAAGAGAGATGGGCTTTGCACTGTAACCAAAGGGCCAATAGAGTTCAGCTTATTCAGACCACCTTAAGGAGCAAATTCTACTGTTCTCAGCTGAGAATGCCTGGCAGCAGCTTCCAGACAACTAAGTCTTGGGACCATTAATTTGAGTCCTCCACTACCTCATCTATTGTTGTGTCTTGGGGGAAAGGGCCATCTCTTGGCTAGCCATATAGGATATGTCTACATTGCAATGTAAGCCCAGGGTTGGTAGAACTGAAGTTAGCAGGCCCTGGGTTTGTTAACCTAGGGCTTGAGGCTGAATTTGTAACCCCAAGTTAGGAAGTGTTGAACCCCAGGACCTAATCCTGGGTTCCAGCATTTACACTGGATAATGCAAGCCTGAGTCCAACCACCCATATCCCAGACTTCCTCGTGCCCTCCCCAACTGTGGCTGCTCTAGCCTCTTGTTCATGGTGCAGCATGGGAAAACTTGACTGTCCACCAAACTTGACTGTGCAGAAGACAAAGACAGTCAGCATGGGGGATACTTTTGGTGGACTCCCAGATGGGGCTTTATCTATAGTGCAAAGCAATAGGGCATGAACTCTGGGTCCCAACTTGACTCATGCTCGAACCCTGTGGGGTCGTGGGACTCTGGGTTAGCATAATTTGTGTGTAGACAGAAGGAAGGTTAGGCTTGAGCCTGAGTTCAAACCCTGGGCTTACACTGCAGTGCAGCCATACCCATATAGCCTTCTAGATCGTAGTCAATAGCTTGAAGTGCGCCCAGGAAGGCAATGCATTTGCTGGAAAGCAGGTGTCATGTAGTCCCATTGCCTAAAGCTGCCTAGTGGTCAGGCAGCTGCATTATGAGCCAGCCGATGCTTTCAAAGGTTTGCAAGTGCCACCCCAAGAGTAGTACGTTGCAGGCAGGCCTACTAGGAGTCCCAGGGGCTGAGGTTACTGTGATGAGGTCTGGATCCTAAAGGGAGGGGTGCAGACTTAGCAAAGGAGGCAGGCGGACATGGCCTGCTTTTAAAAACTACTGAGTAGCTATAGGTGCCGTTGACCTCCACTGGGGTGTGGTGGGGTGGGGCTCAGCCCCATTGAAAATCTGGACAAGAGGGGACTTGCATTTATTTTACTGCGAGCAATTCCCAGGAAGGGGAGCTGCTATGAGCCAGCTCCGGCATGTCTGAAAATTCTGTAGGGGAGCAGAGAAACAGCCTCTGTTCTTCGCAAAGGCCCAAGTGCTTTCCTCACCACCACCTGCAGAGCCCACATCCAAGCCTCTACATGTCAGAGAGGCACACAGTGGGGGCTGGGAGCCTGTGATCAGGAAGAAGTTCTCCTGGGCAAAGTCTCAGGGAAACAAAATATCCATGAACTCGCTTCCCTGGAATAGGAGTGGCTGCTTGGCCACGTCTCTTTCCCCTCCTCCCCTCTGTCTTGTGCCTGTCCTGACTGCAATCAGTGTGTTTGTATTTAGTCAGGGTGTGATCATCCTGCTCTCCCTCCTCAGTTTACCCTCATCACCACAGTCTGAGGGCCCCGTGTGGGCCAGCGTCAGCAGCAGGGTTAACCCCATGTCTCCCCTTTCTCCTAGATGCGCTGTGTGAATACTCCGACGGACACTACATTGTGACGGGACCTAATGGCACAGCTGGGATCTTTGCCACCTACCCTGCTCCGTATATGACTCTGCTGGGGGGATTTGTAAATGAGGTCAGTGCCCAGGATTTCTCTGCCATGTCACAGATGTGTTTGGAGCACAGCTGAGGTCACAGCTGCCTGGCTTGGTGACTAGGTGCTGTTGCAGGTTTAATGCAGAGGACTGTTATTGCTAAGCAGCAGTAGAATGCTCAGCACTGTAAAAGACACGTCAGCTGCCCTGCTGAGTGTACAGTGTACATACAGTGTATGTTTGGCTGCGGCACAAGGGACTGAATTTAAAGGTGACTAGCTGTAGTATTGTGGCTTAACTGGCAGGTGGGTGCACGTAAACAGAGCGCCGAGGAGGGTGGTGGGAGCTTACTATTGGGGAGCGAACGATCAGTACTGAAGCAGAGCTCCGTTCGGAGCGCATTTGTCTGTTCCAACAGGTGACTGCTCTGTAAGGCACTTGATCGCTACTGGGACTATTTCAAGCTCTTTACAGTTTTTTGTTTCTTTTCTTTCAAAAATTATTTCCATGGTCCACAGAATCACTGCTGAAATGTACCGGGGGTTAGGAGAGCATCAGCACCCACTCATACCCTGCGGCAGTGAGGGAAGGGCAGAGGCATATGGGGCTTCTCTGCTACCTGTGCATCATGGAGGGGTCTCTGAGCTAGTTCTGAATAAGCTGGTGGCGAGAGTTGTTGGGAAAAGGCTGATCTTGTGACTTCAGCCCCATGGAGGAAAAGCATAGGGAGAATTAGGTGTCTGGCGTGAGGCTCCCAGAGTGGACCCGGAAGGGGTGAAGTCTGGAGGATCAGCTCTCCATGTGCTGCACATTTATGACTAACTTTCCCCCTTTCCCACTCTTCATTTAGCATGTGGCTCCTAAAGCAGTGGCCTCCGGCTGTGGGAATATTGGTGATTTGTTTTAGCTCATGCTAGCAGTCAGGTGATGCTTGGTTGTATGTTATGGAATGGTGATTGTGTCTAGGATTACCTGAAGGTTTAGGCCCTGCTTGAGTCCATGTGAGTTACGGGAGCACTTCTCAGGATCAGATCCTAAAGACCTTTAAGCCTCTGTTCATGGAATGACATGCAGAACATCATTCCTTCCCTTCAATGTTGTCTCTGCTGTGATGAAATTACCGTCATGCTGTCTCCACTGAGCTGTGCAGTAATTTGGCAGCGCTGTAGCCGTCCTGCTCTGCAGGGGCGTTACTCACCTTGCTGGCATGTGGAATTCATGTAAACGATGTTCTTCTATTGTTTGTGATTCATCTTCTGTTAGCAGTTCTTCTGCTGTGGATTCCACTCCAGGCTTCTTGTTGAAGACTCTCTATTTGTTTATTTATTTCCAAACATAAGCCAAAAATTCATGTCTTGTATATCTGGGTGAAGGAGCCTCTTTGGGGTTCATCAGGGCCATAACTTGGGTTGCTGTTTCCCTGCTCTGTGACCCCACTTCTTTGTGTGGGCGCAGCATCTCCACTATGCTATGGTCAGAACTACTTGCCAACATTCTCATTCAAGGCAGAGCCCCCTGCCCTGCCAGGAACTGGTCAGAGAGGCTCTGTGAGTTTGGCTGCAATGCTGGTGACTGTGAGGGTGAGTGCATCTCCCCAAGATGTGTTTTGCTTGCATTAGTCCAAGAGGTGAGAATCACAAGCCTTCCTCAGATTCCAAATACTCTGGCCATGGAGCACAGTTCAGCTCTCAAGCAATCACCATGACTGCAGTCTACCTTAAAAAACCTTCCCTGGTTCTCTGTGTAGGGATCCAGGGAAGCCTGACCTGTGCGGGACAGCAGCAGGAAAGCCACTTCACAGTGCAGTTTCCTCCCTCTTCTACTCCCAAGGGCACTGCAGGGTACGAGCTCCTGTCTGATTGAGGGATGGGAGAGGGTGGAGTGGCATTGTCACGCCATCCACCTTGCAGAGCGTGTGGATTAGTTACTGATAATCTGGCCTGAGGTGCTGTGGAACCCTCCTGTATGTAGGGTTCTGGGCCCAGAGTTCATGTCTGCACAGTTCCAGCAGGAGCTGCCCTGATGATGGGAGCAGAGAGAACCTGGGAGCCAACAAGGAATCACAGGAGCCAGAAGCTCCACTGATCTTTGTAAGATATGTCATTTTGGGGCCAAATCTGCTCCTTCTTCCACATGGGGGATAACCTGATTTAGGAGGGACAGAGGAGTGTAGGGCCCTCTAATGCATTCTCCAGACAATGCAGGACCAATTCCCTCCAGCTCCCTAATTATCGCTAATGTGTCACCTGGTCTAATATTAAATGTCTCTAAGCTATTCCTTGGTTTCATCCCATACCTTCTAGTTACAATTGCCTCCCTTCTCCCCACCATGCCTGTGGAGCAGGAGGATCTGGGTTCTGTCCTGCTGAAGTTCTGAGTGGCCATAGTATGTAGCATAGTGACAGCTGTAAAATCTCTGGGTGTCCCCGGATTTGTTCTGTCTTCTAGGCAATGCAGAGTATGTCACTGCTGCAGAAGAAGATGAATGACAGTGAGAGCTCCCAGTAACGACAAGTCTTCAGCTCCCATTGATGTGTGTGTGGAATGGCTGCAAAAGGCAGAACCTTGGGCAAATTCTCACCAAGTTGGGAGGGTCAAATGCAGTAATCTCCAACTGAATCCTAGCCCAGGATGGCTGGGATGCTGTAGGGCTAGAAATAGGAACTTTGTTCCATCAGAAAGGGGAAATTCACAGCTTCCCAACTGGGTGCAGATCCCCGGAGTCTTGCCCTGAGAAGAGGCTGAGATAACGGATGTGAAAGTCATGACACTTTTACATCTAGAAAAGCTATTTGGGCTCATTGTTACAGGTTTTTATGGCTCCCTCTCAGTCTGGTAAAAGTGGACTCAGAATAACTAAGGCACTTTGGTTTAGAGATGGAGGGACATGAAAAATAGTTTATACAGACACACGTATAATTATGTTAGTGGCTATTGTGCTGTGGACACACTCATTTGGAATGGGGCCAAGATCCTCTGTTTATTTCACAGCAGCTGGCTGTGACCAGATACTAACAACTTCTGGTTACTCCCAGCCTTGGCCAGATTCAAAATGGTGACCTGTAGATGAAATGCTTCACAACCCATCTAGTCCATGGATAATGTATCTTTTCAAATTGTCAGTCAGCCAGGATGAGAGTGGTCTAGCCTAGAAACTGGAGTGGGCATCATGCCTAGTAGTCAGAGTGGGCATGAGTATTCCAGAGCCAAAGCCAAGGGTCAAATGAGATGGTAGGAACTGGATACCAGAGCCAGGATTAAGCCTGAGTCAGTAGTCAGAACCAAGGGTCAAACTGGAGGGCAGGAACTGGAGTCAATATGGGATCAGGCAAGGATGGGTTCAAGGCAGGAGCAGCGGGAACCAGGTAATGCAGGAGCATGCTCCAGTATGCATGTTGAGAAGCCAGTGAACTGCTGTGGTTGCTGGCTTAAGAGCCAGCCTGCTGGCCCCTGCCGCTAATCAGGTGGCATGACTAATCAAGCAGCTGCTGCAGGTCAGTTGTCCTGACGAGGTTGCCTGGAGATTAGCTCTGCTGCAGGTCCTGATTCCTCACTCTGGGCTCTGCTCCTTTCACATGTTCCAGTGATTCCTTTTGGCCTTGAGATGCACTTCTCTACTGACCTGTGCTTTCTCCCGATCCCACAGTTCCTTGCCACAGTGGTGCTCATGTTGTGCATTCTTGCCATCTATGACAAGAAGAATAATGGAGCCCTACAGGGCACTCAGCCTGTGATCACTGGGCTCCTGGTGTTAGTGATCGGCATGACAATGGGAATAAACACTGGATATGCAATAAACCCCTCCAGGGACCTGCCTCCAAGGATCTTTACTGCAATAGCAGGCTGGGGAATTGAAGTCTTTAGGTAGGTTACCTTCTTTCCTTTTACACTGTACAGATCATAAATGTGTGACCTGAAAAATGTGTTAATACAAGATAAACTCTATTAACCCTTATTTAAAAAGCACTTTAAGGGAGAAACTAATCTCTGACCAGTTAGAATCCCAGTACGCAGGTTGGTTCCCTACTCCAGTGAGAATGCTGCTGTCATAACCATACAGCTAAGGGTAGTGTAGAATTCCTCCTTACCTGTAGGGGGTTAAGAAGCTCAGATAACCTGGTTGGCACCTGACCAAAAGGACAATGGGGAAAGAATATACTTTCAAATCTTGAAGTGGGGGGGAAGGCTTTGTTTTGTGTGTTCGCTTGGGAAGCAGAGAAGCATCAGGTCAGAAAACTCCTTCTCCTATAAGCCATCCTAAAAGTCTCTCATATTAAAAAAATTGTAAGTAAAAGCCACGCAAGGCATCTTAGATTATCTTTTGTTCTGCTTGTGAATTTTTCCTGTTTTTTGTAACTTCGAAACTAAGCCTAGAGGAAGTTCTGATGTGTTTTTTGAATCTTTTGTTACCCTGTAAAGTTATTTTCCATCCTGATTTTACAGAGGTGATTTTTACCTTTTTTTTTACATAAAATCCTTCTTTTAAGAACCTGACTGATTTCTCTATTGTCCTAAGACCCAGGGGTTTGGGTCTGTGATCACTTTGTAACCAATTGGTTAGGATATTATTCTCAAGCCTGCCCAGGAAAGGGGGTGTAAGGGCTTTGGGGGATATTTTGGGGGAACAGGAACTCCAAGTGGTCCTTTCTCTGATTCTTTGTTAAATCACTTTGTGGTGGCAGCGTACCCTCCAAGGGCAAAGAATTTGTGCCTTGGGGAAATTTTAACCTAAGCTGGTAGAAATAAGCTTAGGAGGTCTTTCATGCAGGTTCCCACATCTGTACCCTAGAGTTCAGAGTGGGGAGGGAACCGTGACAGCTGCTCTTTCATATGCCACAACATTCACCCAGCATTCTGACCGGCTGGCACAGAATCTAGGTCCAATTCTGACCGCTTTGTCTAACAGATTTTAAAATAGTAGCTAAGGGCGAGCCATCAAATAATCAAAACACATTTCAACAGCACCGGGATCTACTTGGAGTGGATGTGGATACAAGCAAATGCCATTCACAGTGAGATTAGTGACATTCACATGTTGTTTCAGTGTATGCCAGCATGCAGATTGCAATTCCCATTACAGCAAAGATGGTTGTGCGGTGAAGCAAAGGACTCAGATCTGGGTTCTACTCCTTATGCTGAAATAGGCTTCCTGTGTGACCTTGGGAAAGGCATAGACCTTCTCTCGTTCTTATCCATCTGTAAAATGTTGATATTACCTGCATACCTTAAAGGCTGTTCTGAGCCTTAATTCATCTAGGGTCTGATCCGTAATCTACTGAAATCCAGGAGAACCTTTCCATTGATTTTTGGAACGAGCCCTTGAAATCTTTGAGATCCTGAGACAGAAAACTCTATAAATGTGCAAAATAATATCATAGCTCTCTTCCCTCCAGTATGAATGCATTCTGTGGGGGAAAATAACTTTGCTAGATTAGAATTCAACTCTGTAGCAAAGACAAACTTAGCTTACCTAGGGGAGAATATGGCAGCAAAGCAAAGGGTCTGATTCACTGGAAACCTGTCCTGTCTTTTCTTTTAGGGCTGGAGATTACTGGTGGTGGGTCCCACTTGTAGCCCCAACACTGGGAAGTCTTACTGGTGCCTTAGCCTACAAGCTCCTAATTGACTTTCACAATCAGACTCCACTGGAAGGCGGAGATGGGAAAGGAAAGGAGGATTTGCAGACTAACCAGGTGTGATGTCCAAGTGTTGCTAGGACAAAGCTGGAAAGGAAAGTTCAATCAGCCACACACGACTTCATCACTGGATTAAGTGTTCAACCCTGCCTTCAGTGAACTTCTGTTTTCATACCACTAATTAAATAACACTCAGTAACTCAGTGGATAATGTCCAAGGGACATCAGTTGTACCTGTAGTTATTTACTCACACAATCTGTAGGTCTTAAAATGGAGGAAAGGAGGACTTGTGGCACCTTAGAGACTAACCAATTTATTTGAGCATGAGCTGTAGCTCACGAAAGCTCATGCTCAAATAAATTGGTTAGTCTCTAAGGTGCCACAAGTCCTCCTTTTCTTTTTGCGAATACAGACTAACACGGCTGTTACTCAGAGACTTAAATGGAGGGTGGCTTTTAAAAGTCTGTGCAACTCAATCAGACTAGTTGAGATTTCTGGTGGACAGAACAGTATTGAGTGGGGCTGAAAGTGGCTCTGTTCTAAACTTCAATGGAAGTTTAAGTGTCTTAACTTTTTTTCTTTATGGAAATAATACAACAAACCCATCACTCAGGTGGAAAAAACAAAGCCGAGTGATTCCACACATGTAATTCTGCAGCATTCTAAATGCAAAATTCACTAGCTCGGAGTGGAATGCATCCGATGAGGTGAGCTGTAGCTCACGAAAGCTTATACTCAAATAAATTTGTTAGTCTCTAAGGTGCCACAAGTACCCCTTTTCTTTTTGTGAATACAGACTAACATGGCTGCTACTCTGAAACCTGTAGGTATGAGTGTGCAGATCACGGAGTGTCCTGTTGTGTATCTCTGTTAATGCTACTACACTGAACTAATAGCTGCTCATGAAAGGTTGTCACCCACCCTCAAAGCCAAGACATTTGGGGCAAACAAGGGCTGGAGTGAGGACAAAGGGCTCTTGAAGTCCCTGGTACAGCTGGGGGAGGATTCCCTCAGCACAGTAACCACAGTAAACAGCCTTGCAAGGACCCCCTTAACTCCTGGTGTAAGGGGCCTGCCAGGGACAGGGATAAGGCTGACAGGAACCTGTTAGGAGTTGGGCAGTAGCCCTGCAGAGATTCTGAGCTGTGTTGCCACACACAGGGCTGTCTCAGTTACAGTGGGGGCCAGGGAACAACCTAAAACTGGGATCAGGATTAGCTTAAAGCCATCTTAGGCCACTCCCTCACGGCTACCTATTCTGTGCTGCACCTCTTAGAAGCACAGCAAAGACTCTTGTCCTCGGTCGTGTGTGCATGCTCTTTAGAGGATCTGCTATTCTTCAAAAACCACTCATTTTGGAGGAAAATATTAAAATACATCACCCTTCACTTATACAGTGCTTAATACGTACAAGGGCTGTACAAACACCGAGTAAATAACCCCCACAACACCTTGTCATGTAGTTTGATATTATACAGTTATGCAAGCATGTTAGCAGTTAGACACACCCCAATGTAAAGAATCATTGCTTGTTTTGAGATGGTGCCCTGGATTTCTCTCTTAGACACCCAGATTGACACTCACATCCGATGAAGTGAGCTGTAGCTCACGAAAGCTTATGCTCAAATAAATTGGTTAGTCTCTAAGGTGCCACAAGTACTCCTGTTCTTTTTATGGATACAGACTAGCACGGCTGTTACTCTGAAACCAGATTGTTTGGTGGCTGCTAAATGTTCCCAGTACAGCTAAGAAAAATGAATGTGACAGAATGGAGGCAATAGTGGGTACAGTTGAAGACCAGCAGTGAATGGGTTAAAGTGCAGTTTTACCCTGAAAAATTACATTGTCTAAAGTGTATAAACATGGGGTTCCATGTTTATGGGGTCTCAATGCCTCCAGAGCAAATCCTACCCAGTTTACAAGTAACAATGCCTTTTCTAATGGCCAGCCTTACACCCTGGCCTGGGAACGGAGAGGCAAGCTGGGTTTCTACTGGCATGTGCATCTCTAACAGTAAAGCTTCTGTGTTCTCCTGTAGCTGCACGGGCTCCAAGAGCTGTAGAAAGTGGTGAAGCTGGAGTACCCTACTGCTTTTGATCTTCTCCACACACAGATCGTTAGCGAGGCCAAATGCCATCCTGCAGTAACTTCTTCAACATCTGCCACTCCAGCTGCTGCAGCGGTTGTTGGTGCGGCAGCCGGGGCAGCCAGGCCACTGCACTGGACTTGGGGCTCCAGTCTCCTCTGCTCCATGCTAGGCGTCCCAGAACAGACGCTGCAAAAGAGCAGAGGAAAATGGTTGGGTTTGGTCCCAAACGGGCAGTGAAGGTTGCTTTCCCTGTTCGGAGTGGCTCTTGTTTAGACCAAGGGAGCCTGGGCTTCCCTGTGTTAGGCCTGCGGTTCTGAAACATTTTACTCAGGAGACCCACCAGCTGCATTGTGTGGCGCTTTGCGACTCACCTCAGGTCCAAATTTGGGTGTGCCTCCTCCTCGGCACTGGCAGCTGCAGCAGCACTTGCTGACCCAGCACCGCAACCCTAGTCCTGCCCCAGTGCGGGTATGTTGGAGAGTGACCCCACGCTCACCTTGCAGCAGCTGTTCTTGTCCTGCGGAGCTGCGCCTGGCTTCCAGCTCCAGGGTCCCAGCCCCGTGGAAGGAGATGCTGCTGCAGGGTAAGTGTAGCGCAAGCTTGCTCTCCACCCCACCCACCCCTCCCCTAGGGAACTCCTCTGCTCCGGGTCCCTGACCCCTCTGCAACCTTTCCAAGACCTACTGATGGGTTGGGACCCACAGTCTGGGAAACTCAGTGGTAGGAGGCTTTTCTAGAGCCCGATCCCGAGAAGCCTGATCCTGAAAGTTGCTCAGCACCTTCCCCACCTACTGAGATCTGCAGGAGGTGGGGAGGCGCTCAGTACCTAGCACAGACAGCTATGGCGATAGGGAATCCCACATTATTCCAGGGCAGATTGTTAACCTGGAGCCAGGGAACTTCTGAGGAGAGCAGCACTGGCCTGTGAAAAAAGGGATTTCTCTGTAAGAGGGTTCCCCTAGGTGCTGCTGGATGTGCAGCATTGTTTTACAGCACTGTCCTTGGCTAGTCCACCTGGTCGCCATATTAGATGGCTTGGCACCTTTGCGCTGCTCTGGCCACGGCCAGCTCTTTCAGAGAGTGCACAGCATCAGGTGTGGTCTTTAGCAGAAGGTCATTTCTGTTTAACATGCAGTTTGTATAAATAGTTCAGAGCCTGATCCCGGGCTGAACACTCAATGGTCAGCACGAAGCCCTTACATATCATTAGGCTATAACCATGGGGCCCAGTCCTGCTCTCTTGAAGTCAAGGGGAGCATTACCACCAACTTCAGTGGGTTTGATCCTGCTCTCATTACATGGAATGATCACTGCATGCTTCTTTCTTCTAAAAAGAACACGGCAAAATATTTATTTGTGCATGTATGTTGTATTTAATAAGATGTATATGAAAATGGTAGAGATTGATTTTACTTGATTTCATTGCTTCACTTTATCAGTGGTAACACACTCCACACAGCTCCGTGGCATTTTTATCCACACCGAAGTATTTGCCCATCGGAATAGAAAAGAATTAACCAACATCTCTCCAGGACCAGCAGCCTTTTGGCTTTCCAGCCAGATCTCCCATAAATTAAATTGCCGTTATATTTCATGCAAATGTTGCAACACAGCTGGCACTGGGAAGTCTATTCATGCACAAGAAGTGGTTTGATCCAAACCTAAGAGATACCACAGTGGGTTTTTAACAGTCTGGAATGAAACTGCTTTCCAGAGTCAGGTCTGTGGTTCTCGTTTCCTCAGGGAGTTCCCGGCTAGCGAAGAGGTCTTGGAGGAGGATGTGCTTGCATGGCTTTTCTGAGAGCCTGCTGGCTGGGATGGCAATTTCTTTTTGATCACCGGAGTTTTGTTCTTGCTTTTAAATACCTTGTTGGGGTCCAGTTTGTTCACAAAGGAGTCAGGTTCTTCTGAGAGTAGAGCTGTGTTGATGGTGATGGGCTTGTACATGTTAAACCATTGCTGAAAAAAAGATTACAGGGAAGGATGACATGGGGAGGGGTGGGGGGGAAATCACACATTAGAGACTTAGAGGGAAAGTGCAAGAATCAACTTTGGAACATTTTAAACATACACCAAGCTCCTGCTGTCAAGAATCTGTGTCAGTCTGTGTTTCAGCTCACAGCGTTTTGTGCAAAGAGCTTTACAGTAGAAATGATTCGTAGCTGCAGAATGAGGATGGGGATATAACCTTCCCAAGATACAGAGATTGTGCAGATAAAGGTCAAAAGTGAAACCAGATTCTCCTAGTTTTCCATAGCTGTAACTCGGCAGGCATTAGGGACTTACTGCTGGTTTATACCAATGTCAGAGAGAGGGGAACCAGGCCTAATTTATTTGGACTCAAAGAAGTAGCAAGTGATTATTAATACCTTGGAATTTACCTTGCCAAACAAGCGGAGCTAGAATTGCTGGGCCTCTCATGTGAAATAAAAAAGCCCCCAGTACTCTTCTAACAGTGCAGGTTCAGTTGTGCAAACTTTAACTCAGACCTTGTGTTCACTTTTCTTCTGACTGATTTGATGACTCTGGATCACCATCAGTATTATCTGGTTGCCACCAGGAAGTTTCACTTTGCAGTTCACATTCCTGTCTTCTGCTGCTTTTTCTACTACAGCCAGCTGGCTTATGAAGCCAGGGAAAGGACTGTAGGGGTTATTAGAAAAACCCTGCCTCAAACCAACCTCATTCCAGGGCACAGCATAATACTGAACGAGATAAACAGAGGGTCAATACACACACTAAAGGGGTGGTAGATCTAAGTACTGGATAAGGGGAAGGTCTCCAATATCTGCTCCTGAGAGACCTTTCCAAAAGATAGTGTTAATGAAGACTACCTGATTCCAGTGTTGAGAGGTTAACAAGTCAGCAGGACATAATCTAAATGAGGAGGAAGTTGATTGGTTAGGGAATGTGTGGGGGATCATTTCACACAAGGGGTAGTGAATATATGGAATGCTGTGCTGGGAAAAGCTATTGCTAGAGTACAATGGGTACTCGATCAATCTAGGGCCTGGTCTACAGTACACGGTTATTTTGGAATTAGCCGAGTTACCTCGAAATAAAACTGGTTCTGTCCACACGACCAAACCAGTTGTTTCGATTTAAAGGGCTCTTTACTCTGATTTTTGTACTCCACCTCGGCAAGTGGAGTAGCGCTAAAATCGAGATCGCAGTTCTGGGTTACAGGTACTGTGGATGCAATTCAACAATATTGGCCTCTGGGAGCTATCCCAGAATGCTCCACTGTGACCGTGTTGGATCATATTAAAGAAGTTCTGTATTAAAATCACAAATGAGTTTGATTTCCCATAGTTTAAATTCCAGGGTATTACTAATTAAGAGATCTCTTGGTTTTTGGTACTGTTTCTCTCCCTCTATGTGTGAAACTTGCAAGCTGCTAATTGCGTTAGTACATTCTAAGACAGAGTCTGTTCTCAAAGCAATTCACACAGAGAGAGACTCAAAGCAATACTCTATAACAACAGAAACAGCACCCAGAGACTCCCCGCCCTTTTGTTGTATTAACAATTGTGATTAAAATAGAGCTAGAGGATGTATGTGGATGGATGCTTGGTGTGGATAATAACTGAATGATCAGGGAGGTGCCAGCCTAAGAATCCAGCGTCCATCGGCTGAAGAAGGCGTCAAGTGGAAATAACCAGAGGACCCTCCGCCCGGAGGGCAGACTGGAATCCACCCAACAGCCTCAAGAATGGGAGAACCAAAGAACATCTAGCAGCACGGACCCGTCAGGAATGTGCTATCTGCTGATTGATTCAGCAACAGCATGATGAAGCAATTCCCGCAGACTGGCATAGGAAGAAATTCCTATAAAAATAGACTCTAAAAAGTGAGAACTTTGGGGGGGTCTGATTCTGCAAACCAACTTCCAGGAGCATCAGATGAGCATCTGACAAGGCCCTGCTCCCTTCTTATGTCCAGGCCACCTGGCCAGTGGCTTGACATGAGCAACTCTAAGGCTGGTAACTATGATAACAACCTTGCAGAACCTCTTTGTGTGTGCGTGTGTGTTTGTATTTGTATGAATGAATGTGTGAATAAATATGAGATTGAATGGAATGTTATAACTATAACTAACTGCTTACTATGATTCTTTCTGTATTCACAATAAATGTGTTATTTTGCTTTTTTCCCTTTAATAAGATCCTGCTGGTTTTTATTTTATTGGTATAACAACCGCTCTGGACAACACTCTGAACTCCGATGCAGTAGCCAGGTAGGCAGTAAAAGCCCTGGGAACTTTTGAATTTCCTGTTTGGTCACCATCAGCACAGGTCACCATCAGCACAGTACACCATCACAGGCGACCATGCAGAGTCCACCATATCAAGAGACCACGCAGTCCCGGATTCTCAGACAAGCTCCAGCATGGCCCGAACGGGAGGTACTGGATCTCACTGCACGGTGGGGAGACGAATTTGTTATGGCAGAACTACGTTCCAAAAAAAAGGAACGCAAATACGTAGGCTAACGTCTCCAGGGCCATGACGGAAAGAGGCTACTCCAGGGACACAGAACAGTGTCATACAAAAATCAAGAA